GCTGTTAGCCATAATTGCGTTTTTGGATCACTGCATGACTCAAAAAACAAAACACAAAGATGAAGAAAAGAATATATGTTAACAAGGCAACAGGGAAAATGTGTGCACTTGCGTAATTTTCCGTCAGCTCATCAAAGATGAAACAATGATGACTTCTTCGCTGTCCACATAACTCTGTACTGTACCAAACTAATTTTACTAACCAGTAAATGTGTGAAAACCTGGCAGACAAGATGCATTATGGTAGCCAGTCACAGATCACATATACAATTATCTTAGCACCTAAATAACCACTTAGTAGCATCAAACATTTCGAACCTCACCTGTAAGAAAACGTACTAATCTTTTAGAACCAACCAGTGACCGACCTGGCACTGTAGTGTATTGTGGAGCTTCCCCATTCACAGTGTCATGCCAATATTCCCACACCTGTACATTTATGTATTGAAAGTTTTTGCTCTCAGAGTAACATTAAAAAGGTCATCAATTACTTTCGTGACAGTTAATTTCTTATTTAATTGCATTTCACTCGGGAAGAGAAGACGAAAAACAAGATGCCCTAGTTAAGAAAGAATTATTTTCACTTGATCTCATTTCCTGATGCCAACATTTTCCATGTTGTAACCTTTTCCACAATACAATAGTCATCCTTTAAATAATTGTTAATGTACAGTTTTCCGTTTCTGAACTGCAGTTGCCACTTTCCCACGCTTGTTTCATAACGTGATTTTTAGCAGTTTAATTTCTATCACACCAACAGTGTCTTGAAGTATCTGATTCTGCGTTTACATAATGTTTATCTTTGTCACCGTTTGTGAAGTTTATCAATATTATACTTGGGCTTTTGTAGTCGAAGTGTGCCCGTGCGTTGTCATCTACCACAATACCAAACATGTCTGGCAGAAACTTGACGGCCACCTAATGTACATTTTCTTTTTCTTCGATTCCGACTATTATGATATCTTTCTCACATTAACTGGTCGTCACTAATATGTTATTGTTGTTTCATAACTTCATACCTGGATACAAAAGCCTCAATTATGTTCTTCAACACCGAGTTCAACAAAGAATTATCGATAAATATATTCATTTAGTTTCTATTTCCATACTAACAAGATCTGAATTTTACTTAACGATACTTACGATTTCAACTTAAAGATCGGATCAAAACAATGTTTTAGTTCGACCACAACTGTGTTTGTACGGAACATTCAAACCAAATCAGCGCCAGCGTATCTATAATGGGATCAAGTTGGGAATTTAAATCCATAAATCATAAGTTAAATATTACATGAACTAATGCCCCTACGTTATTGGGGTTTGGTGTGGTGGAATCGTAATTCCGTGTTACTATCCCCTCTACACACACAGTCCATGGCTGTTGCAACGACTATAAACGAGGACAAACAAAGCAGGCATTATAGACATACACAGTAGACCACTTACCAATAACTTTCCCTGCGTATCTACCCCAAAACAGCAAGCTAAGCGTGGTAAATTATGAACCATAACGTTTTGCTAGGTAAAACCATGAACTCTATAGAGATTAAGGTAATTTGGCCTCGTTAATTTCGTTCAATGCAATTTGGTGCAGCTATCTGCTTTGTTCTCCACAATGCATTATTTGTTCTGAGGCCACCAAAGCTTGTCTTCTCAACCCTTATTTTTTGTCCCAGTATCATAGGGGTGTAACCTTTTTAATACACTAAACAAGCAGCCAGTCGGATGAGATAGCTCCGCTGTTAGCAATGCACATTTCAATTAAAGAACAGGAGATAAGATTAGAAAATGAACAATATGTACAGTATCAAAGCAATGGCACTTGCTGTTTTCAACAAGAATTCAAAAATATCACTTTTCACCAAAAATGACAACAAAAATCATCAAAATTAGATAATTGAAGATATCACAACGAAATTAACAAATCTGAAAGAGGTCCACATGTAGTACCTATACATGTAATATAAAAACAATCGGACTTGCGGTTTTCAACAATAAGTCGAAAATATCACTTTTTACCAAAAATGACAGAAATATTCACCAAAATAAGAGAATTAAAGATATCATTACAAAATGAACAAATCTGAGAGAGGTCCACATGTAGTATATATATATGTAATATCAAAGCAATGGGACTTGCTGTTTTTAACAAGAAGTCGAAAATATCATTTTTTACCAAAAATATTAAGCAAAATTAGAGAATTGAAGATATCATCATGAAATGAACAAATCTGTAAATGATCCACATGTAGTACCTATATATGTAATATCAAAGCAATTGGACTTGTGGTTTTTAACAAGAAGTCGAAAATATCACTTTTTACCAAAAATGACAGAAATATTCTCCAAAATGAGAGAATTAAAGATATCATTACAAAATGAACAAATCTGTGAGAGTTCCACATGTAGTATCTATATATGTAATATCAAAGCAATGGGACTTGCTGTTTTTAACAAGAAGTCGAAAATATCACTTTTTAACCAAAAATGACAAAAATATTCACCAAAATTAGAAAATTAAAGATATCATCACGAAATGAACAAATCTGAGAGAGGTCCAGATGTAGTACCTATACATGTAATATCAAAGCAATGGGACTCGCCGGTTTTAACAAGAAGTAGAAAATATCACGTTTTACCAAAAATATTCATCAAAATTAGAGAATTTGAGATTTTGACATGAAATGAACGAATCTGAGAAAGAACCATCCAAGGTACTTGCATACCAAATTTGAAAAAATTCTGACTTGCGGTTTTGAAGAAGAAGTTGAAATTGTAAAGTTGACGACGACGGACAATCAGTAATATGAACAGCTCCGCTGTGTTGACTTTCTCGACAGTGGAGCTAAAAAGGCTGACAACCTATAAAGAAAATAAATATTATAATTAAATGACTAATTGGTTAAATTTAGCATCAGAGACCAGCTAATAACATAATATTTTTAAAATTAAAAATACGTATTTCCCTATTTTATAGAATCTGTGTCTAAACCAATATTAACTATACAAACTAATAACTAAAACTCAAATAGTAAAGTCAAAAACAAAATGGCAGAATAAACCTAATGTTATTTAAAATACGGTTCATTTGAATTCTAAAGTTAGCAGAAGAGTAACAAACATTGCATATTGGTTGAGAACAATGCCTTGGATGGTCACACTCTAGTACTCAGAGCTGGGTAACCAGTGAAAAACTATGTTTGGAGTTTAATAAATAGAATGTAAGCATATTGAAAATAACAAATATCAAACTGAATAAATCACATTACATTTTGTAATAAATGTCAAATAACAAAGATTGAAACTTGATATTGACATAAGTATCTGTTTATTTCATGTCTTCCGAGAATCTTTTTTAAGAATTGATCACGGTCAAGACTGAAGCCTTGTTTCATAGACAACCAACTGAAAGCTGGTCTTCTTATCGGATCCGAAGTGCTGCCTCTCCAGTCTGAAACTGAGTAGCTGCTTTTGTTCTTTGCATGCACAGCATTGACCCCTATTTTGCATATTCAAGCTCCTGTATTTCAAATCCAATGATACTGACCTCAGACTTGTACTTTATACTTTGATTTGGCAATACAAAAATTCTGCAATAAATCTCTAACTCCATGGCATACTACTTCGTAGAATCCTCTTTCTATCTTTACATACAAGAAAAAAAAAATGATTTGTCCTAAAATGTATCTCATTAAAGCCCACAATAACCAAACAAAAAAATAATTTTTGAAGAAGTCAACAATGTGACTCAATGCCAACGAAATAGCTAAGCCATGGTAGTCAAATTTCCTGTGTATAAAACATTCTCGGTCAACGGACAAACTCGGTAGACAGTTCTTATTTGCACGAGATAGCTAGTGACATCAGGGTCAATGGAACGTGATTTCGAGCAGGTGAACTGAATATGGTAGTTGATATAAAACACCAACGTACTTATTTCTATGTAGCAGCAGATCGCAAAATCACTTGCGTGTGGAACTGGTGGCATAAAGATAACAGACTAGGCATCAAATCTGGTCAGAAACATGTAATTAGAAAAGTTTGCAGGTGAAAATCTGACTGCGTGATGATGAACCCAACGTCATTTGAGCGCTGCTTCCTCGTTAGCAATTACAGCATTGTGTTATCTTAGCAACATCCCGACAAGCACACAAACTGCACAGAGAAGGACAGCTTATATCAGGACCAGAAGCATGATAAACATCAGCATTATGAAAACTTTCTTTTCGGTGATTTGGGTTTTGGAAAGGATTTCAACATCGCTTTTTTAGCTTTAAAGTTTGATGGAACCAATAGAGCTTTATTGCAGGCTTCCCTTCCAGAAACGTTGGTCCATCCAAATGAAATGAACCAGGCTTACAGTTTAGTCAAAAACCTTTTCACAGTTACTAACAGTAAAGTTTTGTGGAGCTGGAAATATTCAAGTACGGATGATTTTGCAGCAAAATGTGTTGATACCTGCTGGATGCGCACAAATCACAATCGATCAGGGAATTGTTTAATTGCATACGCTCAATATTACTGATCATGATTTGTTTGACATTATTTTTATCTCAAACAAAATAACTTGGAATGTGGTTTGATATAGCACTGCAATTGATTTCCTCGGCCGAGATCCAGTAATAACCATTCCCCCATCCTCCTGTAGAATTTGAAACACGTTTTCCCTATGATCCCTTAGTAACAAAGAAGTGTATTCAATGGACATCAAAAGAAACAAAGATGAGACCGAGTTCCAAGTACATTTTCTGCCACAATTTAATGTGTCGGCTATCACGAACAATCAGAGCAGCCCCACAATAAAAGCAAATTTCTGTCAATAATTAACTTCTAAGTTTTCACAGCAACTATGTCTGTGAGCATCACCAGGGCTATTAACTTTCAAAAAATAACCCAATTTGTCTATAAAACTATATTACTCATATAACGAATCAATAAAAGTAATAAGGTGAAATGACACTTACTATGTATTTCCATCGGTAAATAAACAAGACAATAAAGTATTGTGTTACGCTTTTTTATTATGCATATACATAGTCATACAATGATTTGAAATAAGCAGAACTCAATTCAAATGTAACTTTTTAGGTCATAATATTGTTTTCATTGTTGGTCATGAACTTTTTGTACACAATCTCATCAATGGTCCAGCCAAAGAGATACGGAACAGGTTCTTATCAACAGACGTAAATGCCACAAACAAGTCTAATTACTCATACAACATACAACTTGAAAAACTCTAAATGTTACCGGGACATGTCAACTTTCTTGGTCTGTATTTTTTATTTTGGCCTAGAATAGAAATATGTAGTCATATAATGTATTCCTGGAAAAATGCAATTTTTGAAAAACATTCCAAAAACAGTCCACTTGAAATGAGTTCAACCTTCTATAATTGTTATCTTGATTATTACAAAATGTCTGATTACAAATATCAGAAACCATGCACACTCTAAATATCTACAACATTTGAAAAGCAGTTCCAGACAAACCCCACCCATAATATTAAATCTGAAGCAGAGAACAATTATTTACTTTGTCACACACTGTAATTAGACCCCGCTTTGAATACTAGTATTGTAATATTAAAATGTTCGTGAATTTCTTGAGTCAGTGATAATCATGAGATTTTGTTGTCAGAGTTTCTATTGAAAATTGCATCATAGGATTGTCATAGTCTCGCTCTGAAAATGTTGTGTATCTATCAGAATACTTTGCATGGGATTAAGCATTACAGTTATCCTATAGGTCACTACCAGTTTTGGTGGTCTTAAGATCAGACCCTGGTCTTAAATGGGCGTTAAACAAAAAAGGCTTTATTCAACTGCCATGGTCGTAATTTAGTCTTAAAGAATTTAGTGTCACCTGGTACAGCTCTAAACACAGTTAACAGAAATATGGCTTTGTTGAGTAACACCTGTAATGAATTTCCATGCTGGCAAAAAAACAAAGATGATATTACCGGGGTAAAACCACTGCTTCGTCCAATAAAACAATGATTGACCTTCAACATATCGACAGTATTAAATATGAGACCATCTAAAACTGGTAGTAGGAGACAATGTGTTTTGAAATTAGTAATAAAAGTAGCACTCTATATATAATTCATATTGATATTAAATCAATGAATAATTATAACGTAGGATTAGTTATCATAGTCCGGATCAGGATACATCTCATATTCCTTGGCAATTGGGGATTCCAGATAATCATTCATGTGTGCTCGTCTCTTTTGTAACAGATCCTTAAAAAATGATAAGTAACTGGTTAAAACTGATATTATCAATAACCTTTTGCAAAATGTTAGATCTTCTTATTTCTAATTTTCTTATTATAATGAAAAGTTATACAATTGCCCAAATTTAATTCGAAAAAAGAAAAACAAGTCTTATTACAAGAGTAGCAGAAAGTATGGTAGTATAGTGATCATATCCTGCAAGCATGTACTGTTTGAATGTGACACTTTCGAATATATTTGTACATCATTTCATGTAGAAGGAATTACATTGTTTTTGCAGTGAGATGTGAGGTGTAACTTTATCATATATATCCGGACTTCTAACAGTGAATGCAACTATAAACATGGTACACAGCAAGTTGAACAAAAGAGTAATACCTTAATATCATGACCATCACTTGTGTCATCATCAGCTGTAGCACCATAGTCATAAACTGGATTCTTTATAGTTAGTGATTGTTTAGACTTGTCAGGTGCTCCATCGGAGAACCACAGTCCACTTCTAGGATACATTTTATCAGGACTAATTCATATGAAAACAAACAAATCAGAATCAGCATACTTGTAGACAGATGGTAATTAAAGCTGCGAGCTACATTAAATTAGTAAATTGTAGATGTACTATAACTAATCCATTTACTGTTATTATTTATTATCAAAGATATTGGCTGATTAAATAAAACCAGGAAAATCATTGATTATTATATAATATCTGTTTTGAAAAATTGTGAGGAGGAGGTTTTACACAAGAAACAAGCCATGCATGGCACAGTCCCTGTTAGTTATAAAATTTAAGATATATAGTTTTGTTTATAATATAGCTGGAATATAACCATGTCAAGAATATGATTATGATGATTGTTTAACATTAAAATGTCATTTTAATTTCATTTCGTCAAACAAGTACTTGTCCATATTGGGAGATATTGCTCTGGAACAGCATTAATTAAAACAAAATCAGCAATTTTGAATACATGTATATATCTATAACATGATGTATAACAAATATATACAATTTGAACATAATCAGTTGTGGATTTGTGTTTGACACAAATCTTAGTTTGTAAATACATGGAACACATACCATCATCAAGCCCCCCTCGGGAATGTTTGACCTACAGGGCCCCCCTTCCCCAACCAATCACCTATCTCTCTATAGAGTGTTGCAGCGTAAGCGTCCTTTCCTTGAAATTCTTTCATATCCACTCATTCATTGTTAAGACTTCATACTGGAAGCTTATACACATTTCGCTATTACTTTATTCTTTCTGTCACTCATTCTACTATCATGCCAAGAGGAAAAGGCTGTGGATGACCAGCCAGGAGTTATACTACGTATAGGGTTCTGCCATATACTCCTCCGGTGACAAGTTTTCGTGACGACTTTTCTGCCACTCCCGATCAACTGGCAAGAGAACAAAGGTGTGCACGTAATAGTTCCGCGCTCGACACGAACCAAGTCATGAACCCGTCACCACTTACCCAGCAACAAGGAAGTCATCCCAGTACTGGAGAGATCGTAACACCAGCTATGATTACTAATTTGCAAGCTTCCATGGTCAACTTAGCAGCGTCTATCGCCGCTCAGGGTCAGAATCCAGTATCCAACAATCAATGCCCTCTGACCTCAGTCAGAACCGGAAGTCTTGCCACGCAACCGAGTCATGACCTGACAATCAATAATGGCGGCCAAAACAACACAGCGATCACGCAACCAGCCCAGTCCACAGTAGGAAACGAGCTCCTAGGTTCCAATGGCACATCATCCAACGAATTGCCATTTGTAGAATTGGTGTCACCATCAATCAGATGAGACATCTCAGGTAAGAATGTGAACTTGGCGTGTTTACTCATTCCGGGATATCAAAATAATGACGGACAACGTCACATCGTGGTTGGCGAGGAAGCCTTTACTCTTTGGCCCTAAGTCTTTAACTGTGCAGGAATTTATAACAGCCTTCTCCATTTACAAGAACATTATGTGTGAAGTGTTTCCAAATCGCAGGAAAGAGTTGGATGATTATCAAAGGTCCATTATTCAAATGTCATGGCGTTTTGGTGGCCTGGCTTTCTATGAATATAATTGTGACTTCTCAGCTCGATCTGCAGCTCTCCTGTTAAATCACAACCAAAGAATAGACTGGTCTCGCCGGGATGATTTATACTGCTCAATATTTGCTGGTCACCGTGCCAATGCCTGCAACATTTGTAATGGTTTGGGACACTGCACAGAGTTCTGCCCACAAGTATCATCCACAAGGAAGCCTACATTCAAAAGTCGCAATGACAGAAAATCCGTTTCCTTCGCCAACACTACACACGACAAACAGGGCCGTCCACGTGTGTTAGTCCAGGGAAAATGTACTTCAAAACAACCATCAAATCAAATTTGGCAACTCCCAAAGCCGTCAACACCTATTAATATATACAGGATAGAATCTGAACTTTGTGACCACCCTGATCCAATGTGGGTCTACCAACTCATCAATGGCCTGAAAGAAGGTTTCAACACCAGAGTTTGTGACCCTCCTACAACATGTCTGGTGTGTCCAAATCTTCTTTCAGCTCGTAACCAACCAGAAATTGTGTCAGCAATTATTGAACAAGAACTCAAAAAGGGCTATCTGCTAGGTCCTTTCCACAAACCGCCATTTGAAACTATCGCTGCAGCCCTATTGGCATTGTTGATAAAAAATATTCAAACAAAAAACGTCTCATTGTGGACCTCTCATCACCTTGGAATGAACGCCTTCAAATTGATACTTATACAACCCTCTTTGTGGCATCTATATGGCATGAACTGGGATGGTATGTATTACTTCTTTGTGAGACTAGCTTTTGGGTGCTGTTCCAGTCCAAAAATATTCGCAACTTTGTCTGCAGCTGTGTGCTGGATAGCACAGAACGTATATGGAATCAATGTGATATTTCATCTTCTTGATGACTGACAGTACCTGTCAGTGAATATCGTGCCTTCAAAGACAGATCAAATTCGACACGGCTACAATCTTCGCCACAAATGCTACCATCTGCCCATTCACCTCAGTGCTTGACTTTCTACGTGTTCGTCATAATATGACTACCCTGGCCAATGAACCTCTGTTCATGCTTATGGGGGCATTCATTGGGGAATTGCTCACAGCCTTCCCAGTTTTTAGCATTTGGCAATTGACAAACTTACCTTGCCTAGTTTTTCCATACTGTGCCACCAGGTGATCTGAGGTTGACCCCATGCCCAGTTTGTGTACTTTTATTATATATGTACTAGTTATTTTATTATTATGTTGTTACCTGTATTGTAATCTTAATAGTGTACTTCGCTGCGTTAGTATTAAGATGTTTATTAATAAAGTAAATTTCTTATCTCCTATATCTTCTCGTGGTGTGTATTTACAAGTCAAAGTATGTGGCTCTAGAAGCCCAATCATTAAAACAAAATGGCCGCCAGTCAGCCATTTTGAATCCGATCTGAAAAATAAAATGACATGCATCAGGAACCCGTAATGTCGTAATGTCTAAGTAAGTACCAAGTTTGAACGAAATCCATCCATAAATGCTTGATATTTGATGATTTTTTTAGCACAAAAATGGCCATCATTCGGCCATTTTGAATAGGATCGTCAAACCAATATATCTGTGTATCTATGACATGATGTATAATAAATATTAAAAAATTCAACATAATCAGTCAAAGCAAGTCAGAGATATGGGTCTAGAAGCTCATTCATTAAAACAAAATGGCCGCCAGTCAGCCATTTTGAATCCGATCTGAAAAATAAAATTGTTTGCATCAAGGTCCCATAATGTCTAATGTATATATCAAGTTTGAACAAAATCCATCTGTAAACAGCAATCGGCCATCTTAAATCAGATCGTGAAACAAATTGACGTGCATATGTATAATATCAAGTATGATGTATGTCTATTTTTAAGCCTTACCTGGTCAACTGTGATTCTTTGTTCTTGAGCACTTTTTTACGGGTGTCCTTTCTCAGTTTTGCATACATTACCAGTAACACCACAATTGCTAACAAAACTACTGCAACTACACTTAATGAAATACCAATTATCTCAGTATCTGACAGTAACTGGGCACACGGCCAATCAGCTGCGCAGTAGCAGATGTGACTATTCACCTGTCAAAATGACAGTAATAATATATAACATTAAAAATACATGATTTGATGAAACACCATAAACCAAATTTAGCATTCTAGGAACACGACACAAGGCAGACATGCAGTTTCATTTTCTTCAATCAATAGGACAACATTACTCAAGTTCTTATAATCACATCAGTATTTGACCCCCTGAGCATAATGTACTCTAAGTTAATATACTGCAACCTTTTGCCATGTTACCAATTTGGTGATATTAATAATGTGAAAGTCATTGTGACTCTTTGTGTTTAGAACCCTAGTGAAATGTCTGCTGTAGTTGCATATCGTTGACTTTAGGATAATAGAGGGGAGGGGAAATACTACAGCAAGAATAAACAAAAATAATGTAACACACCTGGTCAATGCATGAGTAGTTACTCTGGCATGGACTAGACGAACAGTCATCAAAGTCATTTTCACAGTACTGCCCATCGTATCCCAATGAACAGGCACATCCATACCCTTGTTCATCGAATCCCTCGCTACGAGCAATACTGGTACAGTTTGGATCAGAAACAGGTCCAATACACTTTCCATTCTTAGTACATTTATTCTGCATTATGTGGAACGTCATAGTTGCAATCTCAGACCTTGCTCCATACATATCTTCGACACTGATCTTAATCTCATCATCACCATAATAATATTCGTTTGGACGATAACGAATGAAACAAGCCACCCAAGATTGCCGGCTTGTCTCATAAGGGTTGGTCATCTCACAAGGGTATTCAAGTTCAGTCCACTGCGGCTGCCATGTTAACGTTGACATGCTTTGTTTCTCATCTACAGTGCAGTTTGCTGCTATAAATGTAAAGTTTTTCTTTTGTTTCGATATTTCTAAAAATCCTTGTGATGGCATTCCAAATAACAAATTGAGTTCATCTTCCACGTCAACATCCCAGGCACCGACTGTAACTATGATATCCTGATACTGGATATTTTCCAAATGCCGTTGTTCCATAATCATTTCTAAGTCATATTTCTGATCCACAATCATGTTGTTCCCATGCACGGCAACAAAAATCTCAGGCGGATCATTCTCAGATGTTACCAAAATCGTTAGAGCTCCACTAACAGACAAGGAATCAACACCATCAATTCTTTGTTCAAATGCAATGAAATAAAATATGTCTTCACCATAGCAATCTTGGCATGGTTTGTATGATAAGTGACCATGTAGAGTAAGTTCAACCGTTCCGAACTGCGGAAATGGAGAACTATCATCGACTTTGAATAATATGTCGTCTCCTTCTGCATCACTGGCTCTGAGCAAGAATTTTAGAGTCCCACTATCTTCTTTCATAGATATAGGATTGTCTGATGTAATGACAGGAGGCGTATTCTGGTATTCGTTGTTTATATTAGCAAGGTTGAATGCTGTTGGCCCAGTGAATGTATTATCAGATAGTTCTTGTCGGCGTTTTCGAGCAATTGCAAGCCCTGATGTTACTGGAACATGTGTTGTTGAACAGACCTACATAGAGATTAAAAAACAATAAAAAAAATTATAATGGGGAATCTTTTACTAACTTACCCTCATGATTACTACAAGAGACCATAGTGAAATATACTGATAACTGTTTGAGTTAACAAATCTAATGATTTGAAACATGTTTATAACATTATTTTCAGCATCATTTAAGAGGATAAAATGTGTTTGAAACACATTCATAAGCACTGAACGAAATACATTTCAAATGTTTCAAATGCCGGGTTTTTATTTTGGATATTCTGCTGATAGCCTATTAATGCGCTAAATTAAAAACACAAGAGTGAATTTAACATAAAGTCCTTTAAGATTAAAACCAGTGTGCAAACAAACTACTAACAATTCATTAGGATTATTTAACTGACCATCAGTAGAATTACATCTTTTAAACCATGCACTCACCTGGGTTGTGACGGTACCTTCATCTAAATCATAAAAGTATTGTTCAAATGAGTCTGCACACGTGTGACTGGCATCATGCCATTCTTTATAACCTGAAGAACGAAAGATAATGACTTTTAAGTGAGATGAAAAATGAGCCATATATATCAACTGTGCACAAGTATTTATTCTATAAAAAAGTACATAATTACACACTATAGAAGGCCTGTCAGTTAACATGATACTAATTTTAGATGACATATGTCCATTTCTTGTGTGTGTGAATGCGTCTGATAGCAGATTGTTAATTTGATGTATCAACATTATTCTGTGTACATTATTCAAATAAATAACAATGTCTATGATATATATATATATATATATTTGCAATAATCTCTGCTTATCTATGACTGATCCTGCCATAACAACATAGGGGAATTACGATTGGCAATGTGAAGTATACACTCACCTGTGTGCCAAAAAATAATTCTGGGTTTGGAATCAGCTTTATATTCCAACATATTAAATGACATTGTGATATTTATCTTGCCAGTGACACTGAGTTCATCCAGTAAATTCATATAAAATGCATTACCCATGAATTTTTCAATTCTGTAAAAGAAACACAGCTAGTAATTTCCATCAAGTTTTTTTTATATCGATTTTCATTCTCTAGATATTCATCTCTATTATAGAGTCCATCGATTTGATTTTCCAGCCAAGAATTATGGGTAAAGTATGACATCATATCCACTGTCACACTTTACCAATAATCCTTTGCCGAAAGATCGAGATGGTGGACTACATAAACTGATGAAAATTTGAATACCAGTATCTAGAGAATGAAAAATGATATCAAAAAACTGCAAATTGCATTTTCCTACATTTGCTGAGCTCTAAATCTTGGAGCATTATGTTGTTTGCCTTGACATTTTCTTGAATTCAAGAAACATTACAGGTTTCATTTAAACAATGAGTTTTTGAGTTTAATATACCTGACAATAATACATTTTATACTAACCTTTTTGTTAAAGCTCTACTTGTGAAATCCTTGGTGTTTTTTGGATTCACAATAAATGATTTATAATCTACAGATGCATCTGACCCATAATCCTTTGAAAGATCTTCTGATGTCAATATTCCTGCTGCTAAGGTGGAACCTTCTGGTAATCCTAGTGCGAAAGAAACACAGGTCACGTATTACAAATGCTTCATCAGATGTAAAGTTACATAGTGGGTTGTCAAACACATACCCTTATAAATAAAATGTTTTCTGTAGCTAAGATTTTGTTTTCCAAAGCCATACTTAGTCTAGCTTTAGGTACATGTATAACACGAGAACATACAAACATCATTAAACCAATTACACATTGATTGCCCTAGACCTGTATGTGTCAGGGTGGGGAGATCATAGACTAGGGTGGTGATATCATTACATATGTAGGGCAGATCACAGTATAAGATGGAGAGATGGAGTACAATAGGTAGGGAAGATCATAGCATAGAGTGGTGAAAGTCATCTACACATACAGATTTACCAAATATATAACATATAATTAGAATGTAGAAACAATTATATGAAAGTTGTTCTTTAAAGAAACAATTCAAAAGCAGGAATTCAAAAGCAAGTGTAAGGAGGTGTGCACTTGTGTACAGCAACACAGAAACAAAAGTGTTGACACTATTCATGCTGTTTGATAGCAATTAATCAGCTGAATATTATTGGGGTTATTATGCCCACAAGAACGTTTTCAACGCTGGACAACAGACAGATTGTCACTACTGTGACTTTCCCTTTCACTTCACCACGGGCAAGCCAAAAAGTGACATACATGTAATTCCAAGTAATAGATTTACTGTAATGAAACCAGAAGTCAAAGACCTGAAATCTATTTCAACAAGGTTCACTATTTATACAAACCAATTTTACTTGATCACAACATTTGGCTTTCACAAAATAATTGAGTTGGTATCTCACCTCCATCAGTTGATATAATCACACGTGGTTTATCGTTGTTACCACCTTCAAACAAGTTGAGGGTAACATCCCCACCATCCTCTGATGTTATCACCTCATCTTTTTCACCTGTATAAATAGGGAATCAATTTGTCGCCTCAGTTATCTTGAAGTTTCTTGAGAATTGGATAATTAAAGATTGCTTGAATTGCAATACAAAACTAATCAGATCTTTATGATTGTCCCTGACACTTATTGAAATCTTATTGAAATGCAATATTTTATACTTACGAATCATAGCTACATTTTCAACATTGTATTTACTACATTTATGCCCTTTATTGCAGACTTTAAGATTGCTGACCAACACTCTGAAATAAAATGTGAAATACATGGTTGCTACAATGTATATGGTTTGTCACATAAAGAACATATCATGATATTCAGCAGGTAACTATGGGTGTGGTCATAATTGCTAGGAATGAAACAATTTTATATGTGATTTCTATAGACATGGGTTATTGGTTGTTATGGCACATACGCTCAAGAAAGCAGTTAACAAATCGAATGCATGTTCCAAACAATATATTACTAATTTTGTTAATGGAATATCAGGATGAACTGGTTGTTACAATGTATGTGTGTGATCATGGTTGCTAAGGGCATACATATTCCGTATACTCAATATAACCATAATTATGTAATTACTAAAACTATTTTTATTGAAATCCAATGCTGGTTCATGAGATATCAAACACATTCACATTATACACATACAGAAAGACTCACTTTCCAGGTTCTATCAGGAATCGATTGGTATATTCCTCTTTCAAACCTGACTCTAGTCTATTCTTCTCATCATCAAGATCTCTCTCCCGCATAGCAGACAGATTAGCAGCTGGAGTCTCGCCAATCATGAGGACACCACCTTCCACACGCACTGACCCAGATACATTCAATCCAACTTGCACTTGTGGAATAACATCTTGGACACTGTCACTAGAAGAACCAACACTGAAATCTACAAGATTAAAAACATACATTGTATATTGCTATTTTACAATTAAAGAAATTAATTTTGTATTACTTTAGATTTTACACAGTTCAGAAATAGCCCAACAGGATCTATCCTGCTCAACAGAACGGTTTCACCCTTTTTGAGTACATTTTTGTCTCCCTTCATAAAATAAAACCAACTTTTTTTTGTTTATATTGATTTTAAAATGTTGATCAAAATATGCAGCAAATAGTTAATTATGTTCATTTGATGCAAAATTTTCAAAAAAAACAAAACTGGCAAATTGTTGCACAGAAAAGTTGTGTGTTCAGAATGTTGTAATTTTTGTACAAATTCAATATAATTCGAAAGTCAGAACTGATATAACGGAAATATCAATTTCACCTCATTTTTGGTTAACTACACATTTCATGATTAGTACTCGAAATATCGGTAGAAAAGTAAAAAAACAATAGACAAAATTATGCAAATTAGGTAATTAATATATAGATTTTTACTTGAAACCGACTAGGTCTGTTCATTGTCCAAGAGCACATATGTACATTGTGTACTATGCACATAGTCTCATTAATGAAATCTGACCAGCAGTTTTTGAGATATTAATGGAATAGTCATTAAAACACACTGTGATTTCTATACGTATTAAGAACATCCATTGGATTAACTTATAATGTACAGTTAGTCGAACGTTAAATATAGTTGCACTATGAAAATTGTAACTTAACATAGAAATGTTTGCAGAGGGTAGGATTAGTAAAGAGGGTAGGTGTAATACGGTTATATTAAATTTAATATAAAATGTACCACACCTTACCCATTCACTAACCCTGAGCTACGCAAACTTAAGATAAATTTGATTAAATGAATAGTAAGGGTCTTCAATTGTTCAAGTTGTCGTCACTTGGTGTGTGTGTTATTGAATGAAAGACATCACAATGTTGATTCTACACACACATGCAAGTTGCTGTTTTTTGATTTGTTCAGAGGAGAAACGAATAATGCCTAATTTTCAAATGAATGAAATAATGAACAGAAATTCAAACAGAACTGATTTATTGCATTCCAGTTAAATAAAATGAATTCGTTATATATTGATCACATTCATTATCTCGTAAATAAAGTTTGTAACAAGAAATTGACTCAGAGATCTTTACTCACAATAAGCATCAACAAGATTGTCATCCAGTGCTACCCATGATAGTCCTATTGTTTGCTGATTGTTACATTTGACCAATCCATTACTAAGTGGTTGTCCACAGTATGAAGATGAACTGCCATGTGAAGTATCCGGTGAATCACCAATCACTGTCACACCTTCAGAAATAATAAAATAGTCATCTGTACAACCTTATCTTTATTCCCCTCCAATTCACTTCCTCACCTCTCAACTTATGTTCAATCATTCTACTGCCATCATTATACTTTTACTTCTTTCAACTTCTCTTAATTTCTTCTTGAATGCTTACCCACATGTCTTATTCTTTCCAAATTCTACTTCCCCTTCCAATTCCACCCATGTTGTCGATCTTTCATCCCATCCACCTATCTCACACTATACCAATTCTATTTCTATTTCTCTTCCAATTCCAAACATCTTTCTTCTCCTGTAGCCTTTCCAACTCTTTTCTTTTACCTATTCTAACCCTCTCCTCCCATCTTATCCCTTCTCTATTCCATCTACCTATCTCATACTATACCAATTCCATTCCCCTATTCTAGTTCCAAACCTCTTTCTATTCCTGTAACTCTTCCAACTTTCTTCTCTTTTACCCGTTCTACACGTTCTACTCCAATCTTATTTCTCCTCCTTCATTATTCCATTTCTTATCCACCAATTCCATATCTCATCCTCTGTTACCCTTTTCCCAATTTCTCCTATATATATTATTCCTTTCTACACATCCGAACTCTATACCTCCTATTGCCACTCAATTCTATATTCTTGTCAACAATCTTTTCCACAAATGTTCACACATTTCACCACATCTCTCCTCAAAGCTTCTCGCTCACTTCTCCCTGCTTGATCTCACATTGTAACTTCAAATGCTCTCACAATTATTAATTCATAACTTAATTAACACAAACAGCATGCTTACCAGTGGAAGACATAACACTTTCGAGTCCAGCATTGTTAGTTACTTTTAATGTCACATAGTACTTGGCTCTGTTCACAAGTTGTAATCCATCCGTTACAGCAAATGTTGAATGTAACTTCACAGATTTGAAGTTTTGTAGATCAACTGAGTTTGGTTGACTCCCTATAGCATACTGAATGTCTTTAACCTGAAAGCCACAAAACCAACTTATTTACAATACGTGTAATGAAATGTAATTCAGTCAAAATATCATAAAACTGGTAGTGCACTTACTAGTGGTTAATTTTGTAATTTCATTGATAAAAATCTATGCAACCTGGAGCACAAAAACGGGATCTCCTTTTATCCTTGGTGAGTGTAGCCGCCAGAGACAAAAAAATGAGTTGACTGACAGTGTTTACAGACTAACAGATGTAGCTGTAGGGGAAGATGATTAGCTCCACAGGTGGTTATATTTTACCAAGGATGGTTGAATTATATTGTCATAATATCATTACTCCTACATGCTTCCAATCATTATCCCCATGTGCCTTATGTGAAAATATTTTAGGCAGCAATATGTTTATGGTTAGCAATGGTACTTCACACATAGAAAACAACATGTGACACTTCACCCATATACCATACTACATTGTACCTTCATTTCATTATATATCACTTTTCCTACCTGACTTCCTAGATCATATACATCCCATCTAACAGCTATGGTGTTATCACTACTTTGATATTCAGTTGGTTCAGCATCAGACCATGCCATATCCACATGATATAGTTCCACAATCACTGGTGGGGTTACATCTATCAGGACTCCATCAGAGGAAACAACAGCTGATCGACCTGAGCCTAAAGCAACAGGTAAATGTTATGTATTGATCAGGGTAGGCAACACCAAAAACAGTGCAGGCCAATCTTTTTTTCACTTATTTTGCCACTGCATAGTGCATTCTACTGACAAAATATGTCCTGACAAATATTTCAGCAAAAAAAAATCAACTCGCTGCCCCATTTTTTAAATAAAATTCAACCAGAAATATTTGTTTGCAATGCCTATGTTGCCAGGCATGTGATAACCTTGTAAGTATCAAAACACATTGTAACTCTTCGCCTTAAGGTCATTCATGGCAACAAAATTTCATGATTTTTCCGACTCATTCAGGCAAGTTTATTCCCAAATAAGGGTGTCAGTGCCAGAATGCAGAGCAATGACACAACTGATTTGGTGCACAGTATCATCATTACCTGCCTCAATATTTGCCTAAATTTGGCACACATAGAGTAACTACATGCAAAGCAAAACTCTGTACAAGTTAAAACAATCCCTGTTGGTACCTTTTCAAGCATGTATGAATGAGTGACTTTGTGTGAAATACATGCAATAAAATTATAATATGTAGAACAAAAAATTCCCAGTACTTGATTTTAGTAGTATGAAAATACATAGTAGAATTACTGTAGCAAAAGCGATAATATGGGCATATGATGAATCAATGGCAAAATCTAACCTGTTACAGCTTTTACAGTAAGATAATAGGTTGCTGGAACCGTCACATTTTGACCATCTTCCTCAGTATTGACTTCAGGTTTCAAGTTCAAGTCATCCAGTTCAATATGATATAGTGTAGTGAGACTGTTTGAACAGGAACTATCACAGTTGTATAAATCACATGGCTTAACGCATGGAATGCATGGACTGGTCACCTGCAAACAGTATACATGTACTTGTAAAGCAACATGATCTAGCAAAACCCGGATTTTAATTTGTCATTCCTACCATATAGAAGTCAATTGTTGATTCATAGCATGTCTTGCCATGAATTTCTGAAGAACACGGTAACAAGTAAGTTATTGGTGATGATTGGCACCTGGATATACCCACTCCTTCTTTAAATGCCAAAGTAATTTTTGTCATAGTTTCATTAATTTTGGTTAAGGCACTAGGATTCGGAATGAATATGAATCGAAAAATGTGCTGAATACAACAAATACAATGTATTATCATATTTCCTCATTAGTAACGCATGAAATTATATATTCAATATATATGCTTGCATATGGTCAAAATACAATAAATGTGTAAAAGCTTCTATTAGAGATGTGCTTCTAATATGGCTTAGTCTTTTCCACGAAACCAAACCCTTACCCTAACTCGCATTTTTTCATTTTAATTTTAATTTTAATCTGAGAAAATTTCAAACTGTGAAACACAAAATGAATAGCGCCATTCGTGTTCAACAATTCCAAAATGGTTGTCATGTCATGTCAGCACAAAAGAATCGAGCTGCAAAGTAGGCGGAAAAGAGGTGGAAACTAAATATGCTTGACAAATTTATTTCTGTGACGTGGCGATGTTTGAAGTCGTTCAAAATTTTAGGTTAGGGTTAGGGTTAGGGTTTCATTTCGTTTCATGGAAAAGACCAAGCCTCCTAATAGAGCAAATATATCTGTATACAATATACATAATTTTTATAGAAAAAAAACCTAATGGTTAAGTAAAATAACAGTTTTATGCTATATTCATGTACTTTCTTCTGTGTTATATTTGAATAACTAATACTACCATTTTCTACACATTATATTTATCAGTCTGAGCAGTTTTCACCAATTTGTTAATAGTTTACATGTATATCAAAATGACTCACTCAATGTGCTCAAAAAATGTGATGGCTATATTTCTTACCAATCTGAACGGTACCACATCATCCAGTAATCTTTCTGATCCAACCCCAGCCATGAAACCCTCAATGGCGTTTTCACCATTACGGAATGGATCACCATATCGACACAACATCTCAGGTGGAGGTGGAAGTCTGGAGTGACAGAGAAATTGCATTTTTTGCATGAGTACCCCAGTAGTTCAGTTTATAGCTACGCTTGATGAGTTACATATTTTTTTTCACAAGCGTATCTCCTCTCCCTCTAGAGAATTAGTGGAACGTACATATAGGGATAACAAAGATGATACAAACTGCAGCTTTATATCGGGGTGTGAAAACAAATTAGTAGATTTTTTATCTGAACAACCTGGTAGGAAGTAACAACTAATCAACAGTACTGAACTGAAGCTGGTATAAAAAAAAAAACTATTCAGAAGTATAAAAGCAAATCTATTCAAGAAACATCTGCCATCTTAAACTGTCTGTTTGGTATCAAACAATGGGGATTTCCCGTTCTCTCCAAACTCGCTCATTTTTTTAATAGCTCACTGTCAAGATGCTGATTTTTCAGAGGAGAGTATGGCATAAAAATACCCTATGTCTTTTTTTAATGTTTTTATGTTTGATTTCATATATATCACAGATTCTCAGAACGAAAAATGGTCGATGGTCTGAATGTATATGTATTGCGGGATTTGACAGAAAATGGCATAGTTTCAAAATCATGGTGGCTAAAGTAATATGAAACAAAAGCAAAGCTAAATGAATTCATGCACGCTGGAACACAATTTAACTCACTTAAGATTTCTGAATGAAGCTGTACTTGTAGGTGGGTTGAAGATATCTGTAATCTCTGGTACATAATCTAATCTATTCCATACTGACATGACTAGTTTGGCCGTCTCACTCAGACTAGGAACATCAGTAATGATTGTAGCAGGCACACCATCAATGAGCAATTCCACTGTCCAATCATCCTAGCAAAAAATATAGCAAGTCAATTCATAGTTGGGCCACTTGATAATTGCTATACAGCTGTTGGCAGGAAATGAACACATACAGCAATTAAACTACTTAACAGGAAATTGATACATCCATATTATTTCACTTTGATGTTTCTCATCATTGACACAAAATAGTCTTTCTGTGTGACTTGTTTTATAGGTTTCACACTTTCTGTGTTTCAAATTACCTCTTCTTCAATTCTACACTGCATATTCAAATCAGTAAGCAAACGATCAGTAACATAGGCAAGAAGTGATGACAAGTGTGAAGTTAGCACATCAAAAATATTAAAGGAACTTGAATGTCCAATTTTTGGATATGATTCGATCACAGGAAATGCAGGGAATGTTTTTGCAAATAATGAATGAATGAATGAACGATTGTTCTTACCCTGTCTCCAACTTCATTCATTGTAAGTAGCAAGCAATACGTGTGCCAGGCTTGTGATGGATCAAATGACAGCTCGATAATCTTATGTTTTGGTTCATACGTGTCATTAACAAAGCGACTCCACATCACAGCAAAGTGTTTTATCTCATCATTGACATTCACACCTATTGAAGATTCATCGACATACATGTAGTCATTGCATTGGAAAGTTAACACGTAAACAAAACATCTTTATTACGTACATGTACTGGTAATAAAATTAAACAACCTGATGTGAACTAAGCACCTCAAATTTAATATACAGAGACCAAATATTCAATGCATGGACTTCTATAATTTTAACACAGTACCTGAATGTAACTGGAGTCCCAAAGCCGTCTGCGCATAATTCTTCAGACTTTCATCACCTGTGAAAGTTTTGTCTGGTAGATCATTGCCCACCACAATCCATGAATTGGTTGTTACGTGTAATGGTTCAGCAGTCGTGTCAGCCGTTGTTGTTGCGGCAATTTGTATGAAGTAAGCTGTACAATTGCATTCACATGAAATGGTGTCTAGAAATAAATTAAAATAATAATTTAAACCCATTAAAAGTGGAGTCTAATAATACTACTGTAACATACTTCATTTTCGCTGAAGGAATGATTCAGTGAAAATAAAATCCAGCAAATACATCTTTTCCTATATTTTACATTCAATTTGCCAAAAATCAGTGAAGATAAATTCCATACAAAACACTTAAAAAGATTTTTCATCGAAAAATAATACAGCTAAAACAAAGTATTTTACAGTACTTCACATACTGCATGGATTCAACAATACACAGCTGGATGAGTATAAATTTTGTCTTAAGCTGGATATACTTTACTTAAACAGTAATGAATCCCCAACAGCACCATAGTAATTTATTGACTTATTTGTTTGACTGAATTAATTGAAAGCATGAATAATTTAATCACATTATTGCTGAGTGATAAATTTTTCTGTGAACTAGCTATGCTTATAAAAACATAAGTTACCTTGAGGAGAAGAAGTTGTTTCCTGGGTAGTATATCGTGGAGAGGTGACTGTTTTCTGGGTAGTATCTTGTGAAGAGGTGACTGTATCCTGGGCAGAACTTTGAGAAGTAGCCATTGTTTCCTGGCTGTGATTATTGTTCCCTGCAATATTTTCATTTTCACAGCATCTGCAATCCCGCTTTTCAATCACACTATCTTCCCATGTTTTTTCTCCCAATGGTGCATTGATATCACCAACAACACCAGATGGCCCATCCCAAAATGTGAAGCTGGTTACAGCATGGGTATCCCCACCAGCTGCAATTATTTCCACCTGGAAAAAATTTATTTAGCAGAAGATGCTGAATTGTTCAATTTACGTACGCACATCGAGTTCCAAAAACATTGAGATACAAAAATGCCCAAATTGTAATTCAATGTTCAATTACCAGTTAACAGAACTTCAAGTTTTGGGCAATATACATTTTTGTTTTTGCCATTCAAACTTTAATTAACAGTTGACCGAAGCACGGTTACTAAAAAAGACGGTTAGGAAACAAACCATGCTCTTTTCATTGGATGCGTGTCGCGGGTAAACATTTGAAACAAAAGACGTACTAATCTGTGATAAATCATTAACATAAAATGTAGACAGGAAATCACGCAAATATTACATCATTTTCCCCAGAGTTCATTGCAATCAACAACTGCACGCCATTTGTATTGTGTCTGTGTCGATACTTTCAGTAATACTAAAGTGTAAGTTGTTCCAGTGAATCCTGACAAAACCTGTCGCTCAGTTTAAGCTCAATACAAATTTGCCTGTCTTGTATGGCATTTTCGTTTCTAAAGAACAAGATCGGCAGAAAACAAATAAAAAAACCAACAAAACATGATCAGAAAAAAAGACGTCAAAGAAACCATACAAGTGTTTATATTTCAGCCAGGCGAAAGTTTTAATGAGGAGCCATGATACTATATACATTTGTTGGAAATTTTTAAAACTAGCGCCAAAGGCGCATATTAGTTTTTATGTTTATATAAGAGATTGCATACTTACCTTTGGTTAATGAAATTTTAATTTCATAAACAAATGGGATAATTGCCAATTAT